ATTAATCCTGGGTGCCATCCAAAGGTGCACGGTAGAAGACAAGAGTATCCAAATTTGTGCATAACACCACTGGTGTGGGATTCTTGTCTTAAAAACTCCAACCTCTCATCCCACTCCCCACCCCCCTATAAATGCAAACCTATACAAGGGGTACATGTGAGCGAGTTCCCCCAATTCCCATAAGATTAGGAACCTTCAAGAACCGTTTCGTCCACCAGTTCAGGGAAAAGGGGGTGACTCCTGCACTGGTGTCTCAAAAACTAGTAACATATTGATGACATTATGATAAGTTGGTTGTTGCCCCTTGCTTTTTTACTGACGAATTACACAGAGGAATGTGTGTCAACTGCCTGGCCAGGTGCAGTCGGCTTCTTTTGCTCAGGACCGGTGCTCCTGAAGTGTTTAGGCTTGCCACATGTGTAGCACCTGTGGGTATATCCTGATGCTGGCTTGTTGCCAGGAGCTGTAGGTGCAGTCACTGGAAGGCTTGGCTCACACGTATAGCAGGGGTTGCCATTGGTCTATCTTGTTGCCTGTGTCTACCTGTTTGGCATCCCCAAAGGGACCAAGAAGTGTTCCCTCAGCTTTTAGCTCCATTTATAGGTGGGTCTGTCAGACCATAGGTTAAGCCTATGACATCTTTCCTGAAAAAACTCACTCTACTTGGGTTGTGAGCACTTGCTGGGCATTTCAGCATCAGGCTTCAGTTTCCCAGGTCTGCAAGGCTGTCAGGTGCTCTTCTGTGCACATGTCCCTGAATTACTACCAGGTGGATGTTTCAGCCTCTGCTGATGCCACCTTTGTATGCAAAGTGATACATGGTAAAGTTTCCAAAAATGAACCTGACTTTTGGTACCTGTGACACCTGAACAAGAAATGGGGGTGTGATTGTCACTGTGACAGGAAAGCAAGGATAGTAGTAAAAACATTGTCACAAGTTTGATTCGTTCTTTTCTCCTAAAAATGTGATTAGAGAGATTTCCCTTCACTGTCTGCCCTCCCTGATAGGGAAAATAAGACTCTAAAACCCTATCCCACTCTATGGAGAAAAAACTAAAAAGTTTGGTTGGAGTTGTGCCTTAATATTAGATAATAGATTTATTACATTACCAGTTTATTTAAATGTTTGAGCTTTGCAATTATGATTTAATAAGAGTGTGGTTTTATGCTATGTATTACTTCAGGTGACATTGAAGCATTAAAGCCATTGACTCATTGTAGCACATATTTCAGTAAACTAAACATGAGATGGTAGTCCATCATGGGAGAGAGCTTGGAGCGGTGACTACTTTACAACACACACAAGGACCATGGGGAACAAAAGTAACCACCCACCAGAAGGAAGGACAGTGTCAGCACCAATTCAGAGATGATTTGAGGATCTACAGCTGAGTGATACACAAATAAGATACATATTTGTTAATAGTCAAGGTACAGTACTTGAATGCATTTTGAAGGTTTAACTCCTGAGTTTAATGTCACTTTACGTTTCCCTCACCTTCCCTGCCAAGGAAGTACCCATTAAGAGTAGTTTTCCATTAACCCTTCCATGTGCACCTTGCTGTAAAGCTGGTGACGAATTGATGAGTGCTTTTGCCATTTGTTTTGCTTGACTGATTTGGTGCAGTGATGCATGGGGGGTCTCAGCTGCCATTGTGATGTGCAGGATCCCTTGCGTGTCCCTGTGCCTTTAAGGAGGTTGGGCTTGCTCCTGACAAACCTGCACCCAATTTAATCTTTTGCCACATGTGCTCCAAGATGGAGACTCTCATAGTTAAGAGTTAGAAGCGCACTATATGGAGGTGCCTTGGCGTGGCTGTGCGACTTTCAAATTTTCTGCAGAAGATGTGTATCTAAACCTCTGTTTTTAACCTTAGTGTGAGACAAGTTTTTTTGCATGCTGGCTGTTGAGTGTGCCAGGAAAACTTTTTGCTGTTGTACTGTATAAAGCCCTTTCATGTGCACCTTGCTGTAAAGCTGGTGACGAATTGATGAGTGTGTTTGCCATTTGTTTTGCTTTATTTTTTTCCAGTCAAACACGGAAAAACATGATTTTCAGCTTTCCTCTGATTTATTAACCACTTGAAGACCAGGGTGGTAAACCCCCTTCCTGGACACACCATTTGAACATGAAGCAAGTCCAGTTTAATGACACATGTATGTCATTCAAGTGCAAACGTTTTTGGGGCCTCGTGGGGTCCCCTTCCTCATTCTGAGCCTGCTGAAGGGGACCCTGCAAGGCCCCGAAAGCGTTTGTACTTGAATAACATACATGTGTCATTAAACTGGACTTGCTTCATGTACAAATGGTGTGCTGCTGTCATTTTTGGACTTTGTGATGTTTACACGGTGCCATCCGTGGTCACTTCAACCACCCGCCTGATTTACAGGTGTATTCTCTAATTCGGTAAGGAGTGCAACAGGACATACTTGTATGTGACGTTGGGTAAATAGACACCAAACATGTCAAGCCTTGAAATTGCATGCACCCGCGAAATTGCATAATACGACCACACCCAAAATTGGCCATAGGCGACACTTTAAAAGCTTTTACTGCTCATCAGTTTTGTGTTATCAGTAATTAATGGCCCTAAAATTATTGCTCGCACTCCGATGTTCGCGGCAATATGTAACATGTGCGGCACAATAGGCGGAATCATCGTTTTCACACGTTGGCACACCCAATGCTTGCATGTGTATGTAGGGGGGGCAGGGGACTTTAAAAAAAAATTGTTTTATTTTACTTTTTTTTTATTTGTGACTTTTTTTTAGCTTCTTAATGCTTTAATTTTTCTAAAACTTTTTTTATACACATAACTTTATTGCTATCACATAGGGGACTAAGAAATCCACTATGTGATAGCCAATTCAAGACCCCTGATGTCACCTAGGACCCCCAGAGAAGCTGATGAAGCAGAGATCTGCTTCATCAGCTTCTCTCCGGCTTCAAGAAAGGAGATTGACAGAGGAATGTAGAAGTGATGTAATATACATCACTTCCTGCTTTCGTGAACAGGAAAGGAGATCAAAGTGAGATTGTGTACTGATCTCCCTTTGATCTCCAGTAACAGAGTCGCCGTGATGGTCCCAGCCACACCGGGCACCGTGGATCTCGGGACCGGCGGAGACAGCGGGGGGAGGGCACACTATTTACTATTTACATTGCTGACAGTTTCCCCACTCAGGTGTGCGCTAAAAGCCATGCACGCGCAGGGGGAGGGGAAGAACGTCTTAAGAGACCTTCCAGCTCCTATAAAGCTGCCGTCTGGCCGTTCAAGGAACAGCCAAGTGGTTAAAACAGCCAGCGCAAGTGGTTAAAATATTTTTTCTATTTCAAGAAAGTAGCTTGATCATATATTTACTTAATTGATTTGTATTTACAGTTCTTCTTTTAATGAAAAGATATCTACCAGAGTGGCCTCAGTGAACAGTTAAAGCGACACTAAGCTCAGGAGTTAAAACTTAAAAATGCATTCAAGTACCCTAACTATTAACAAAAATGTAGCTTATATGTGCATTAGTCAATTCACCTCAGCTCTGAATTGGTGCTGACACTGTCCTTCTTTCTGGAGGGGGGCTACTTTTGTTCCCCATGGTCCCTGTGTGTGTTGTAAAGTAGCCACCGCTCCAAGCTCACTTCTGTGATAGACTACACTCTCATGTTTAGTCTTCTAATTTGTATTCAAATTATAGTCTGATAGACTGCAATTTGAATACAAATTAGAAGACTAAACGTGAGATTGTAGTGTATCACAGATGCGAGCTTGGAACGGTGGCTACTTTACAACACACACAGGGACCATGGGGAACAAAAGTAGCCCCCCTCCAGAAAGAAGGACAGTGTCAGCACCAATTCAGAGATGATTTGAGGATCTACAGCCGAGTGATACACAAATAAGATAAATTTTTGTTAATAGTTAAGATACTTCAATGCATTTTTAAGATTTAACTCCTGAGTTTAGTGTCACTGTAAGCTTATAGTGTTATCTAACAGGGTATATTGTACAAATGGAAGAAATGAAAACTGGAGGAGTCCCCAATTACATCCATTTAGATACCAGTTACCATTTTTCAGTGCAGATTCCCTCCACTTCCATTCTCCATTTTTGCAGCAGTCGCCTTTCAAGACAACAACGCACATGTATCTATTAGATACAGTCTACTGCACTCATTCATTAGGAAGAATGCACTATGCACAGACTTCAGAACAAAGTTACTTCAAACCAATGTACAGTAGATCACATTATTAGACTATTATTTGCTAATACCAAACAGACTTTAATTGCAGTTAGGGGGATGTGTGAAATATCCTACATATATGACCAATGCTGAAAATACATGTAATACATTTCTGTTTGTGTTCTAATTATTTCTGCTCTAGATTCTGTTCACATGCTTATTGGCTATCAGTAGAGATACAAGCCGAATCAGGATAACATTTAATTAGCAGACCCACAACCATTAATGAGCACGTGCCTTGAAGTTAATCTCTAGTAAAAACGTTTTGGGGGGATAGAGTAGGGAATGCTTAGAAACCCTGTTTCTCTTCCGGTCCTGACTACAATGTGGACACTGTGACAGGAATGAAGGGAAAACGTAATTGAGGACACAAACAGAACTAATAAAATTGATTTATTGTCATACCTGTTAGTGAGATTTTCTCAATGTTTGACCAAGTCATGAAGGGATAAACTCCAGAACATGGCCTCAAAAAAAACAAAAACAAAAATCAAGTAGACTTTTAAGAAGTTGTGCATATTCCAAAAAAAAATAATGTATTTCTTCTGTTTTGCAATCTTAATGACTGAAAACAAAATACCGTATATACTCGAGTATAAGCCGAGATTTTCAGCCCATTTTTTTGGGTGAAAAGTGCCCCCCTCGGCACAAAAGCATCAATGGCATAGAAATATACTAGCTCAACAAATTATTTGTGCCCATTTAACAATAATTACATAAACGTAGTAAATACAAACCCACATAGGTATCTGCAAATCTCTTTAGTACTGAGTCTCATGGTTTGAAAGAAATTGGCAACCGCTGTTGACATGACTCACTAACTTCTGTTTTAGCTGTGCCACTTGTTCCCTTAGTAAACCAGCCGTAGAAGCTAGGTCTGTGTTTTGGCACTTAAGAGTCTTCACTTTATCCTCTAGGTTTGAAATCTGCTCCAATTTTCGTTTTCTGCATTTGGAAGCTGCTATCCGGTTTCTTATTTTCTTCCTCTCGGCTTTAATTATTTCCTGGGTGTCCATATCTATAGGGGAGAGTGAAGGACTGACCATCTCTGGTACTAGCTGAAGTTCCTCTTTCAGTGTATTCAGCCGGTGAATTGAAAAGTTGGGCTGCATTTGCTCACAGCTGGAAGGTAGGAAAAGAAAGGACGCAGCTTCAGGTCTGTTACTTATTGAGCAGTCGATCATTTCACCAGAGTAACTGTTAGGATTCACATAATATGGAGTATCTGAATTTTCAGCTGATGGAAACGTAGATCCAGAAGACACAGAATGCAAGTTCACGCCAACGCTGAGGTGGTTATAATTGTGCAAGTCCTCCAGTACCTCAACAAACCCATCCGCAAATTCCTGCTCCTTGCTTGCCACTTTAGGATGTGCAAGCAGCTTACTAGCCGGATTTGTAGAGTTCAAGTCATTTGGATGGATAATCAGCATCTCAATTTCAGGGGAGGACAGTTTAAGCAAGCAGACCTAATTCAGTAAAGGTGGGTAGATTGCATCCTTGAAGCTGAAATTTCAGGTTGGTGTGGTTTTTTTTTTTAACCATCATATGTTGAGTAGTTTTTAACAAACCATTGTTGTAAAACAGTATGGCCACTATCCTCTGACGCAATGTGATTATCAATGGAAGTAAATCCCTTGTCAAAACAGAATAAAAAGCAGCAAAATAAGTGGCTTTCAAGTTTACGAACCGAGCAGAGGTTTATTCTCTTGAGCTTTTCTTTGCCTGGATACTTTAATCCATAATAACGAGTTTCTTAGCAATAAATGATGTTTGTGGCAAAGCAGATTAAAGTTCCTTCAGTAAGCATTCGACTGGATGAAACGACGGTATCTTCCTAGTTTTCCGTCAGTGAACAGTAAAGTTTCCCAAAAGGATGCTTGAATGTGTAGATCAAATAGGAGATGTAATCCTGTTCTGTTCCGTATTGCTTTCTCTTTAGTTTTCAGTAGCTTGTTGTTAGCAATCTCCACCCACTTCTTCCTCTACACTCTCATGCTGCACTGAGACACGGTATCGCCCACATTCTCTTATATAGCCTTCCAATCCCATGATGACACTTCTGTGCTCAGATATTGGTTCAGCGTGATGTACCGATATTCTTTCATTTGCATAGTTGTCAGGGCAACTTTACATAAACTGCAAACAGTGAAGTGCACTGTGGGTTGAGGTAACTCTGTAACCCTCTGTAATACGCTAGGAGTCTATAGCCAATTAGGAAGTGAATAAAAGTCACATGGTGGTTTATTTTGGTATTAAAGAACTTCCTTAGCAGAGAGAACACCGGGGATATTTATAAGCACATAGAGTGTACTAAAAGTTACCTAAAGGCTTAGCTGTTCTGTTCTTAACAGAAATTAAATAAAAATTGGAAAATACTTGTATGTCTTACGTTGTAAGTACAATATAAGGCTCCACAGTAGTCTCCTGAATTTGGTTTATTTAAATACAGGAGTAATTACCTAAGAAGTATAAACAAACTTTATGCTCAGATCAGCATCTCCTGTGTTTAAATGTATTTGCATTTACATGCTTTTATGTGTGTTTAGCTGTGTTTAGAGCAGGGTTAGCAAACCTCTGGCCCTCCAGCTGTGGTGAAACTACAAATCCCATGATGGATCTCTCTTCGGGAGTCATGTCTGTGGCTGTGAGAATCTTGCAATGCCTCATGGGATTTGTAGTTCCACCACAGCTGGAGGGCCGGAGGTTTGTTACCCCTGGTTTAGAGTATCTAATCTAGACGCACAATATGTTATTGTTTCTGAACACACATAAGCACAAAAAGTGTGAATTATACCATTAAAAATCATTACATACATTTATATGCGTTTAAAACTGTTAGTTACGGTGAGAGTCAGTGGGGAGAAAGATCGTACTGCACAGCTAATCACTGTGGATGACAGACAATGGATCTACATGACAGGACAACATGATTGAAGATGGAATTACATAGTGTGACTTTGTTTTTTAAATAGAGGATTATATCACAGTGTGTGTTATTTTTTGTGAATTTGTAACCAGGGCTTATTTTTAAAGAGGGCCTTGGGGACCAGAGGTGGGCATGAGAACATTGTCCTAATTAAAATGGGGAAAAGATGACTTGCCGAGGGAGGCCCCCCTTGCAAAGTACCTTCACCATGTGGCCTGGTATGGTCCAGGAGGAGGGGGTGACTGCTCGTTGCCCCCCGAATTCATGCTTGTATAAGGGGGGTCTGGTGTGGATTGGGGGGGCACAGTGTTTTTTTGGGGGGGTTCCACCTTACCATCCATACCAGACTCTCATCAAGAGTAAGGGTATGTTGTGGATTTTTGTGGCATTGGATTCTCCCAGAATACTTACCAGTCCCTTATAGGACCTGGTATGTATTTTTAGGGGTCCCCATGGCATTGTTCACAAGTGAAGAACAAGCTGGTAGGCAAATGTCATTTAGGTGCAAATGTTTGTAAAATGTCACTTTTGCTGTAGTATATCACACCGGTGGGCTACTTTACGTGCAAGATTAAGGCATTCCACATGCATGTTATTTAAAAGAGTTCTGTATTTTTTAATTTTAATTAAATGAGCTGCAAATGTTATGCATTGGCAAAGCTCCCCCAATTTTCCTAAGCTCTTTGTTTAACAATAGCTTGCCTATTATCCTCGGAAATTACTTTTTTTTTTTTACAAACAGAAGAGGCAGGTGAGAAATGTCATTCAGAAATGTCAAGCAGCATGTGTTTTTTTAATTCATTGTAAATGTCACTTTTGCTGTATTACATCCTACAGGTGCACCATTTCCCAGGCCGTTTTAGGGCATGTTAATTAAAGGAATGTTGCATTTTTAATGTTGCCCCTTAGGGCCCATTCACACCAGTTGCAGTGCGTTCCAGCCCGATTCTGGTCAGAACGCACTGCCTCGCATTGCGGCCGGCTCACTTTTTAGTGGGGCAGGTGGGGGAGTGGAGGGCCATTGAAGTGAATGGCACCGTAGCCACACCCTCCAGGATTGCGTAGTGCTTGCAGCATTTTGATTGCACCGGACCGCAGGCACAATGTGCCTTTGCGATCCCGTACGGGTGATCGCATTGCGGCTGGAGGGCGTGGCTATGGTGCCATTCACTTTAATGGCCACTCACGCCCCCTCCTGCTCCACTAAAAAGTGAGCCTGCCGCAATGCAAGGCATTGTGTTCTGGCCAGAATCGGGCCGGAACGCACTGCAACTGGTGTGAATGGGCCCTTAGGCATCATTAAAAGAGCTGCTCCTTGCTAAATGGTATTTTTGTAGATTTTTTTTTGCATTAGTACATGCTCCCCCACCTTCCCCAGGAGTGCCCAGCTACCCATAACCTTTGTTTGACAATCCCTTTCCTATTAGCTTTGAAAATGGGCAGACATTACTTTAACCACTTGAGTCCCAGCAGTTGTTTTAAAACGGAGATTGGATCTTCGTTATATGTCCTAGCGCCATTTTAAGACAGCAGCAGGAATGAATGGCTCCTGTGGGTCCTGGTGGGAGTGGAGACTGTAGCCATTGGCTGTCTTTGACAGCCGGGATACAGCACTAAGATACCGGGCGTCCGATGCTTTCACATAGTGTTCCATATGAGGGCTCTGTGAACCTCCTGTGCACCAAACTTAGGTAAGTTCATCCCATCCCTATTGTAGGTTTGTCTTGTGTTGTCCCTGCCCCTACCCCTTTTCCTCTCTTCTTTCCTTGATAGGTCTTTAGCCAGGAGGACTAAAGCACACTTTGGAAATACCACATACACATCTGTCTAACATGTTGAATGTACATTTGACTTCCTCAATGTAATGGCCTTGAGGCCCCGTTCACATTGAGCGATTTATCGCGCGGTAATTCCCGCGATATCGCGGCAATTTACCGAGCGATATCGCTCTCCAATGCTTCTCAATGGGGCAAAGGGTCCTGCTGTCGCGGGTTGTGCGTTGCTACAGCAGGACTCTTTTTGGAGCGGATTTAGCCGCGATTCAAGCTTGCTCAATGCAAGCATTTGCGCGATATCGCGCAAAATGCAAATCGCGTGACAAACGCGCGATTTGCAAACCGCTCAATGTGAACGGGGACTAACTGTCCCGCAAAAAAGTTCCAAGGTGCTCTATAACATGCATAAACAGTAGGGATGCACCAATACCATTTTTTCAAAACGGAGTATAAGAACCGATACTCTTCCACTAGTATTTGCCGATACAACTTACAGATACCTTTTTTTTTGTGTCATGTGACAGTTTTTCTGAAACAATGCAGACTAATGATTTTAGGACAGTGGTGGGGTGCCAGGGCCCGGTCGCAGCTGCAACCACTGCAACCCTGGTAGTTCTGGCCCTGACTCCAAGCTGTAGAGGGACTACAACTCCCAGCAATACATTATATAGCAATGCAGAATACCACCAGCTATAGAGAACTTAAAATCCCAGCAATACATTATATAGCAATGCAGATTGGGGCCAGCTATAGAGGACAACAAATCCCAGCAATGCAGAATGACACCAGCTATAGAGGGCTACAAATCCCAGCAATACATTATAAAGCAATGCAGAATAATATGAAGCTACATACTCTGTTGTGTTTCTCCAGGGTGGCGGCCTGATGTCTCCAGGGTCTCAGGTGGGCTGTGGAAGGTCTCAGAAGGGCTGTGTGGGCTCTCAGGAGGCTGTGTGGGCTCCTAGGGGGGCAGTGCAGGCTCTCAGGAAGCTGTGTGGGCTCTCAGGTGGGCTGTGCAAGGTCTAAGTTAGGCTGTGCAGGGTCTCAGGTGGGCTGTGCGGGCTCTCAGGAGACTGTGCAGGGTCTTAGGTGGGCTGTGCAGGGTCTCAGGTGGGCTCTGCGGACTCTCAGGAAGCTGTGCAGGGTCTCAGGTGGGCTCTCAGGAGGGCTGTGTGGGCTCTTAGGTGGGCTGTGCAGGGTCTCAGGTGGGCTGTGTTGGCTCCTAGGTGGGCTGTGTGGGCTCTTAGGTGGGCTGCACAGGGTCTCAGGTGGGCTGTGCGGGCTCTCAGGTGGGCTGTGTGGGCTCTCAGGTGGGCTGTGTGGGCTCTCAGGTGGTCTGTGCAGGGCCTTAGGAGGGCTGTGCAGGGCCTCAGGAGGGCTGTGCAGGCTCTTAGGTGGCATGTGCAGTGTTCGGAGGCAGGTGATGGGGATCCACAGGAAATAGTTGTGTGGCCGGCGCTGTAAGCAGCACCGCAAGGTCCCCAGCAAGCGCAGGACCTTAAGGCAGCCACATGTGTTTAAAAATGTAAACTGCCGGCGCTAAGTATTAGGGCATTTTCACGAGTACTTGAAAAATGCCTGGTATTCAGTGCCTGATAAACAGTGCATGCAAGTAAGGTTTTCTCAAGCAACACATTTTAGGTCCACTGCTGCCTCCTGCTGAAAAATTGCTCCAAATAGTAGACTAGTAACAAAATCATAAAAGGGCTCTCAGGTGGGCTGTGTGGGCTCTCAGGTGGTCTGTGCAGGGCCTTAGGAGGGCTGTGCAGGGCCTCAGGAGGGCTGTGCAGGCTCTTAGGTGGCATGTGCAGTGTTCGGAGGCAGGTGATGGGGATCCACAGGAAATAGTTGTGTGGCCGGCGCTGTAAGCAGCACCGCAAGGTCCCCAGCAAGCGCAGGACCTTAAGGCAGCCACATGTGTTTAAAAATGTAAACTGCCGGCGCTAAGTATTAGGGCATTTTCACGAGTACTTGAAAAATGCCTGGTATTCAGTGCCTGATAAACAGTGCATGCAAGTAAGGTTTTCTCAAGCAACACATTTTAGGTCCACTGCTGCCTCCTGCTGAAAAATTGCTCCAAATAGTAGACTAGTAACAAAATCATAAAACCAGGGTAGTTGCTATAGGTATCTACTCTGTACGTATATCAGTCATACAGGAACTAATAGATGAGAAGGGCAGATTTGTCTTTTTGAAATACAAATTATGTAACACATTGTTCATGCTGGCAAACATATATTTGTATAACCACAGACAAGCAAAAGTGTTAACTTCAATTCCTTGCAGGCTGGGAGACTGTGATGGGTGTAACAATCCAGAGTGGAAACCTCAACTTCACTTTGCATCCC